CTTCACAGTATCGGTATAGTAAGTGTCCGGATAATTTTTTGACATAGCGTATATATAATCTACAGATCAACAAAAATTCACCATAACTGATATGAAAACCTATTTGAATAGATCCAATCGAGTTCAGCATTCTTCATAAAATTAGAATTTTTGTCTAGTATCACAAGTAGCAATGAGTAACTGAATTGAAAAGAAATGGAGAAAATTTCTATTTTACTTACTAAAAGCATTTAATTCTTTTATTGTTTGATATAAATCATTCAATTTCATTGGAAGATTTAATTTCAATTGTCGATGTTCATCATCGATATGACTATCATTATTACGTATTCGATCAAATATTAATTTTAATAATTGTCTTATAGCATCTTCACGTACAATATATTTAATCATATCATCTATTTGTTTTGATGTTAATACTGATGAATGAATAAGATTTGTATCAAGATCAATAATATCATTTGCATCTAAATAATATTTCATTGTTTCAATTGTATCATAAGATGTATGATATATTTCACCAAGAATTTCAATAAATTCATCTGATGATAATGACATTCTTTTATATGTACGAAAACATATTTGATGATAATCAGAATCATGAATTATTGTAATTACATCACCATATGAACATAAAGTTCGTGTTTGTGTACTTAGATAGATTTTTCGAATCATGCGAAATAAAACAACTGAGTCTAATTTACATATCATGGTCTTATCATTTAAACGATTACCAGCTAAAATTAAATCTAATGCCATACGAACACGTATTCGTTGACGATTAATTGTTTTATAACCTTGCTCTTGTATGAAAAAGTGTTGTGAGAAACAAAAGATCTTTATAAATGTTTCTTACTTTATATTGTATTCATTAGTTCATCAGCTATTTTATTATTTGTTTGATTTAAAAATGGAGAATTTGATTGATCAGTTAACATAATAATACCATTTAAAACATCTTCAATATCTTTCTAGGATTAGAAATAATTCGTGCTGCGTCCGTTTTTTTTTAGTTAAGATATGAAAATAAATTTTACTGTATTAGTCAAGGCTGCTGCCATAGATTGTACACCATAGATAATTTTATCGATCATTGCTTGTTCAATTGGTATAAAGTGATCGGGATAATAGAATTGATGATATGTATTTTCATAGAGCAATATTTGAATTGTTTGATTTTAAATTTTCTTTTTTTTCTTAATTTTTTTGATTGATTTTGTTGATTATTTATTTTTTATTTCATTTTGTAAATATTCATATGTTATTTCTTCATTGATTATAAATTTAAGTATAGATTCAATGTTAGCAATTAATTTGTTTATTTTCTATTTGAAATTATTATAACATTAGTTAATTGAGAGTTTTCATATATACATACTTTATGATTTTTAGTTTTATATTGATTATGAATTTGATTCATTAGTTTTGTAAAAACTTGCTTTAGTTTTTGGTAGAATAACTGATGATGAATCAAATGTATCATTTGATTCCATAGGACATAAAGGTTTAGTTTCAATCACATGAATGTCTTCTTCTTTGTCTATCATTTTTATTGAATATAGTTTACTCTTCTTAGATAAATTTAAATATCGCTCATGATGTCTATAACTATGAATAGCATTTCTGAGAAGTTGATTATTTCTAAGTTGCATTTCAACTATTGTTGGTAATTTTATTGGTATACAATGCATATCTTCTGATGGAAATTTTTCTAGTTTTATGATTTCATTAGAATAGTTATAAAATACATTAGATTTTCGAAATTCATCGTTTTCTTGAGATAAATTGAGAGTACTATCAATATTATTATTGTTTTGATTAATATTTTGACAATATATCGATAACATAGAATCAAAATCATGAATAGCTTTATCGGGTATTTCAAAATTAATATTGGTTTCTAAAATATCTATTTCATACTACAAATAAATATGAGTGTAATTTGAATTTTATTTATTATGATGTATTCATTATGAAATCTTACATCAGTACGAATATTATTGGTAATCTTAATGCATTCTGATACTTTAACACGAAATGCATCAGAGAAAATTCGACGATCTTTCATTCTATTCGTTTTATTCGTATTGGTGGTTGCAGAAAATGATTCAGACTTATGTTGATCCATGATTTGTTTAGTCATTTACTAGATTGTAGAATATCTGAATTTATCTTAGCGCCAAGTAAACATCTTTAGAACTTAGTTTTCTATTATAATTACAATGCAAAGTATTGTACAGTAATCGTTCGAGAGTTTATTTATTTTTTTTGGCACATAACTCGAACCACTATTTTGTATCATGATGATCTAAGGATCGAAGAGTTCTGCAATTTTCATTGAAACGGTATTACAAAATTCTATGTTCCTATATGATGAAAGTTTTTTTTTAAATAGTTGATCAAAAATGCTGATCATCGCTAGAGGATTCATAGTACTAGTTAAGTATTTATCTGCTTTTATTGATTGAACAAAATTCATATAAGAATTCTTGGTTTTCAAAAAGTGTTTAGCTTATCATATGTTATCTTTAATCATAGTGTATCGCTCTTACTCAACGGGTGTGAATAGAGATCTTTTCTTCAATGAATCCCACATCCAACTGGAATCCTATTAAGCCTCTCTAGTAAGAACTCACATCAGTACTGACAATAATTTCAAAGTTTTCTAGAAGAATTAAATCTTTTCCAGCCTTTTTCTGATTACGTCACTATTTGAAAAACAACCAATCAGAAGATGATTCGTTTTCAACATAATGTTTCAGCACTATTACCAATATTACAATTGACCATGTTATCCCCCTGCAAGTTATCTAACATTTTTTCATCAATTAAACGAATGATATATCTATTGCTTACTAAATTTACTAAAAAAACAATGCTCCATCGAATTTTAAAACAAAACCTTTTCTTTTTACAAAGTGCTCTTCAAAATTTCACCCAAAAAGAAAACGATATGAATTCATAGGTAGTCTTTGAATGTCTAAAAATACTTGATTCCTCTTCCGATCTCTTCTTCCCTGGATGTGGGTGTGATTATAGATGAAGAAAAGAATGAACTTACACCTACACCTTTCTTTCAATGAAGATCCTCGACAGATGATAATTGTAGATCAATGAGTCATTTTTTCAATACTATCATTGATTTGTTTCGTCACTATGTTGATTTAAAGAACCATGTTGGCTTCCTATGTCATATAACTGTAATGAGAGACTTTTTTGTTCAAAAAAAGACATCTCGATAATCAAGATCATTTTGTTAGTGATCGACTCGTTACTGACAGATATTGTTTTCTGACATCATCGGCATGAAAGCAAAATGAGATCGGAAAGAAGCATTCAATTTAATTGATAATAGCTAAGAAGGAATGAGTTTTTTATCTTTCTATATTCTTAATGATATGATAAGGCTCTGTTTGTCTTTAGTTGCTGACAAAGAAGTCATTGTATACAAAATGATACGGATTCGCCTTACAATATGTATAAGAAATTAACAATGTGAACAACTTGATTTCGATTAGAACACAGCGACATTTATGGTTTTATTCGATTATGAATATTAGAATTGATAACTGTTATATCATATCGTTTGATAATCAGTTCTGTTTCTTCTGGACATCGATAGCAAAAAGAAAATCAGAGTAGATGCTACCATAGCAATGAATGTAATTTGAAAAAACTGAGAGGCTTAGTTATTACAACTAAAAAGAATGGATCAAGATGTGTACTAAGTTCTTCCAATTTCATGATCTGTAAAATTGAAGACGACCATTTCACTCTGTTAGAATGAAAGACTCATAAAAAATGAATTTCAACAATTCTATCTTTCTATATCTTTTTACAATTACTGTGTTAAGTATTGAGATAGAGACAAGTAAAGAGAATAATTACATAATCTGTAATTTAGTACATCTTGAATGAAAAGTAAGTAATGAAGAAAAAAGACGAGCTGTGATTGATGAACAAACATCACTCAATGGTATGAAACTGAAGGATCACATTTAGTCCTTTCTGGATCACGTTCATCCATCAAATCGATGTGTCATCATTGTTTTTCAAATTTTTTATCTTCATATGAAAAGTATGGAGAGAAAAAAATTTGAAAACTCTTCAATGTTTTCTATATAGTTAGTTAGTCCTCGAAACAGTACTGTACAATATAATTTCTTTTATTGCTAAAAGAAAACTGTTTCACCGAATCATTCCTCATAGAATTCAAAGATGAAGAACAGCAATACCTATGAAGTGAATTCGGTGGAAAATGCTTCATTTACTCAACAATATCTCTTTTGAGTTTTGTACACAGTAGAACAAGAATCTGTTGATATTCAAGCGAGACACGGTAATCGATGCTTGAAATAGAGAAATAAATGACTGAGTTTGCATATGGCAATTAACTTTATCACATTCTGTCAAAGAAGAACGGTCTATGTTTATCGATCGAAGTTCTATGAATCTTCTTATTAAAATCAACAATGAATGATTTAATTGATGCAAATAAATACAGGTACAATTTTTTTGATCTCGATCGACATTTTTAATAGAATTGCTCCTATTCTTAATCATTCATTTTTATTTTGTAAAAATCTAATTTTTTATTCTTGTTTCAATTTAAATCAATACAAAAAAAAAGAACATGTGATCAAGTCAATATTTAATTTGTAATTGAATCGAGTTGGAATTTTCTTACTCGAGCATGAAAACTATCAACAGCATAGAGATAACCATATCGATCGAACGTTAAACCTTCTGGATGAAACCACCACCTTGCTTGTCCTCGTTGGCTATTCTCGTCAATAATAACGCTCCCTTGTGTACTTTCTTTTGGCCAACGCATGATTCGATTATTGCTGCTGTCTGCTATATAAACTGTGCCCAAATTATCGACGACAATTCCTTCCGGTGATAAAGCATTTGTCCAATCATCTCCAATTACTTGACCACTTGCTACGACTATACCTGTTTTTGCACCTTCCGTCCACTTCATGACACGATCGTTGTCCATGTCCGACACGTACACTGAATATTCTTTATCGACAAATATATACGTAGGAAAACTGAGTTGATCGAGACGATCACCAGCTCTATTGCCACCTGCCACCACAATTCCATGTTTTTCTCCAACTTTATATCGTTTCACCTGATGTTTTCTCGAATCAGAGACGTAAAGAAATCCACGATCATCCATTGTTAAGCTGAAGCAATCAATGTTCGAGATGATAGTTTCTCCCTGTGTACCATTATGACGAGACCATCGTACTACTCGTTTGTTGTTTCTGTCACAAATGAGGAGACTGTCGGTTGTTTGATCGACAATTACATCCGTTGGCCAATTTAGCTGATCATTCCTTTTTCCTTCTCCATTTCCACCAGCAATAATCTGACCAGTCCTTGCACCACACTTCCATTCCATAATACGACTATTTACTTGATCAGCAACATAGACTGTTTGATCATCATCTACATGCAAACCTTTTGGCCAATAGAATTGATTTAACTCAGGTCCATATTCATTGCCTCCTGCTACAGTAACACCGTCACGTATCCATTTAGCATCAGGATTGATATGGACCGGAGTTCCACGAAGTGGTGCTATAATGAAACAAAAGAAACTTCCTAAGTGATAATCGATCGAAATTACTAGTTTCTTTGAGCTTTTTAATCAGCGAATAAGCTGCATGTCTCGGATTTTTTTCTCTCGCTGCTAAAATTCGTACACTTTGTTTAATCATTCTTAGGGATGAGAATGAAGATCATTGCTCTCATTCTCATGTACAGCTTCGTTTTCTCAGAATTCGGTAGATAAGCATTTTCTTACTATTCAATTGTTTGGCTTCGGCCTTGTTCGTATTGACAGCAACATTTGTATTGACTTGCATGATAGTACCTGAAAAAATGAGAAAGACATTAATATATCGACAAAGAAACAATCTGTCAAGCCGTGATGATTCACTCAAGTAATATTCTATGTGATGTAATGTTCACACGAAGAATTATTGTCCCTCAATAAAGAATCTTTGAATAAAACAACAGATACGATAACAGCGACAATCGATCATTTATGAACATGTGTTGTGCACAGGTATGCGATTATTTTCATGGATTTCTGTTGAAACTTTTCCCAGAACTGGATCAATTAACATTTTACAACTTCCGAAAAAGAATTATATACTGAGAATTTGAAAGCTTATCGTAAACTTTCGTTACCTTTAAAAATGCCAAAAAAAACGTTGGTTGATACGAATTTCTTGAAATAACAACAAACGCAATTTATAATGATTATATCTTTTTGTGCTTTTCTTCAGATATGATATATTATCTATAAACTACATATGACCTCTTGTTTTATCGCTCACTTTTCTGTTTCTGTTTTTTCATCTTTGACTGGTCGACTTCTTTTTTTCTTATCTAACGTCCAGGAAGGACTGAAAATGTAGACTATTTGAATAAACAATGAAGTTTTAATTCATTTTTGATTCGATTATCTTGTTTGGGATGGAAGAAGAGAAAAGAGAGAATATGCACTTGGAGATAAAGAAGAGCAATTAAAATAGCATATGCATCCATTTCCTTTCATCTTGCATTATCCTGTTCTAAAAAAATTCACTCGTTCATAAAATTTTGTCATTAAGCCATACATCATTTTTTCAAGTTTTTTTTTGTTCAATATTGTATTCATGCACTGAAAAATATCAATTTTGTAGATAAGATCGAATATCGTCGGTCACTCTTTTCTTTTTAAATGCACTACCAACAATCAAGCTTGGACAATTGTTCAAGTACAAGAATGAACAAGTTTCATCGGTGTATCTACGTCTATTTTTCCAAGAAAATGATTCAATGAAAATAATAATATATAGGACTGAAACATTGATATCTCAACATGATCAGATCATCTTGATTAGTTTTGTTAAGAATTGAACCTAAAAGGATGATAGTTTTATGACCATTAGAAATAGGTTTACTATGAGATAATACTTTACTTTGAAATTCTCATTTTCAAATGATGTTCTTTCTGTTGCTCTCTGTTTTGAATTCATATTGTTTATGTGTATGTTTATCCATGTGATACTCTACTTTTCAGTATTTATGAAATTATTTCTTTAAATTGTTGTTTCTAAATGATAAATTTCTCTTTCTTGAATGAAAGTATTCAATATAATCTCACATCAGACGAGAACAACTGTTACCAATTTGATCATGTATAGAACTTTTAAAAACCCATCAAAGACTGGTAGACTTTTCATGACATTAGCATTGAAATATTAAAAAAATCTTTTTCACGAATATTATATGAAGGATCGTTGTTGGATTTAAAATTTTTTTAAAATTACTCTTAACTCAAATCACATTGATGGTGAACAAGCCAATGAAATATCATTCATTATATAAGACATTAGCTACCATATATATCGACTACATAATATTTATCACGGAGGTTGAAATCTTTGAAATATACATCAAAGAGTCGACTTTCTCATAGAAAAAAAAGGCTACCGCACGATTTAATTGATTGGCCCCTAGTAAGTTTCCAAATGTCAAATTTTAGCAAACATATATATACCTAATTTACCAAGTATTTATATGTATTACTGAACAAATATTGAACTTGGTTTTCAACAGATCGAATGACTTGAGTGTAGGTGAGCATGAGAAACGAATATTAACATAAAATGAACTCGAAAATTTATCAAAGAATAATAAATCTGTATCAATTTCTGTTTTAGCTGAAAAAAGTATTTTTTTTTTCAAATAGTTATTTATATGAAAGTCTATACTGAACTGGATAGCTAAAACCTGTTTTGATTTTAATTTTCGAATGAAACAAAATATTCCTATGATAAAGTCATAATAATAATTTAATCGTTTATGATTCGTCTGATAAGTATTGGTTATAGATGTAAATGAGAGGATATATGTCCATGTGAGTTTTCTTTTCATATGCAGTCACTCTTCAAATAAATCAAGAAGTTTGGGATATTTTTAAAGACTCATCAGCTCGATCTATTGCTAATTCATGTGCAGGTGAACCAGTACTTGTTACTTGAATATTTGGTGAAATACATTGTCATGGTTCTTGAGTAAAACATACATCAAGTCATTTGTGAATAGAAATTTGAAACAGCTTGATACTGTAAGGCAATATGAAACTGATGTGTAACACTGGGTAATGAAGTTTTTATTTCTTGAAGATATAATGGTTCTTATAATATCTATTAATATGCAAGTATACATTGAATATCAGCTAACTCATTCGTATAAATAGATCTTAGTGCTGTTAAGAACAATATATGGATCTTTAATGATGTCAAAATTATTTGAGCGATTATATATACTTAAGGGTGTGGGTGAACTAGACAGAACATTCATAATCACATTCACACCTGCATCCTTAATTATATGCAGACCATTGGATTAAAACAAAAATATTTCTCATTCTCTCTGTTTCATGTTCAAATGAGATTTTATCAGTAGTACATAACTTAAGACAAGTTGATTCAAGACTTATTAAATAAATATTCTAAAAGTGTAAACATTTATCTTGATTCGAATTAATTAAATGAATCAATCAAAATAAACATTAATCTAACTGAAAAACAATCAATCGCATTGAGTTCCTATAATCAGCATAAAAAATTAACAAAAGAATTGACACAATTTCGTTGGTTTCAATTATTGAAAGATGTCATTAAACAAATGCCATATAATGATATTCATGGAAAATTTGATTTAATTAACAAATTAAGAGAAATTTATCATAATAATAATAAACAACTAATATTAATTAAAGAATTTGAAGAAAACTATCGATCTGAAGATGCAATAAAATGGTATACAAACAACCATGTCTTTATTAAAATTTGAATAAAGCTTTAAAAACAGAAGATACTGACTTCTTACATTTATTTCGTTGTTTTATTCGTGATCTTTGCAATAATCTTTTTGACAAAGATTTAGTTATAAAAGAATACGAATCCTTTATAAATCTCTATCGAGGTACACGTATGTCAAATGATGAACTTGAAAATTTGAAACAAAATCAGGATAAATTAATATCCACTAACGGTTTTTTATCTACAAGTTTATCAAAATAAGCATTACCGTTAGTACAATCAATAAAAAAAGTGTTCTTTTTGAAATTGAATGTGATTTAGCCATGAGTAATAGTATCATTCTTGCTCCAATCAATCACTTTAGTGCACATCCAGACGAAGAGGAAATTTTAATTGATATTGGTGCTGTTTTTAAAATCCTATTTATCATCTATGCATATACAAATGTATCTCTTTTATGGGAGGATCTCTTAAGACAAATGGGACAATATGATAAAGTACTTGAATATTTTACTAAATTATTGAAAATTTTTAATGAAACTGAGAATAATTATTTGGAGATTCATTTATATCTTGGTGATATTTATTTAGAAAAGGGAGATTATGATGAAGTGTATAAATATCATTTTTATGTTTATGAAGCGTTAATAAAAATGGATCCGCCAAGATTTTCTTATCGATCTGTTAATGGATTATGTACAGTTCTTCGTTTTAGATGTTTATATGATAAGGTAATTAAGTATTTAATTTGTTATATAAAATATTTGGATAAAATTAATTCAAGAAAATGTTGTGCTTATGCAACTTGTCTAACAAATATGGAAAATTGTTATTATGGTCTTAGTAAATATGACGATGCGTTAAATTCTTACGAAAAGGCACAAAATTTACTTAAAAGTTATTATTCTACTGATCATTTTGAAATAGGAAGAAGTTTAGACAATATTGACAATGTTTATCGAGCATAGAAACAACATGATAAAGCGTTTAAATGTTTTATAGAAGCACTGAAAACTTATGAAAAATGTTATCCATCGGATCATCATGTTTTAGCGAAAAGCTACATGAATATTGGTGCTATATGCTTCAAGAATTTCAAACAGAGGAAAAGAAAGATGGAGTTATTCATCTTTTTTAGTAAAGCTCTTAATATTCTATTAAAAAAGTTTTTCGATGGACACTATAGAATTGCTTTTGTTTAAATAATATTGGTGTTGCTTATAATGCACGCCTAGAGGTACTACTATTTATAAGATTTGATAATAGATGTGTACCATAATTACGACTGTGAGTAATCATAAATACTCTTTTAACATTCTTGGCATATTAATATTTCATAAACTTGTGTATAGTTATCGTAAATGCTTATTCAGCATCGCATAAGAGCATCATATGCAATAGACACGCGTCGCCATTCTCAGTTAGGGATATCAATATACCAATGTAATATCGATGTATTGTTATTGAATTATATTTGCATCTATTGATATTAAAAAGCAACAATATTGACTGACATTGCTAGTAAGTAGTATTAGTATTGCAACGTCCCTCTTTTCAATATTTAATATTGTTGAAATTTAGCGAAGCTTATGTAATTAAATATTTTTTTTAGCGAAAGAGGTCTACCCAAAAACAAACCGAATAAATATGCAGCACAATAGAAACGATTTCAGAGAATCTGGGGGTTTGTCGAGCAGTCATGATATGTTTTGATCTTGCTTGAGAATCTAATCAAATGGTTGTGATTGAGTATCCATTTAGGATGTGGGTGTGTGTGTGAATGACGAAAAGAAGGTTACCCACCCTCACAATTAAAAAAATTCGTGAAATTAAACTAATGATCAAAAAGCTTTCGAATATGATAAGAAAAATTAAATGTATATATGAATGAAACAGCATGAAGTATCAGAGAATAAATGGTCAAATTTGACTATAAAATCATCATTTATCGCAAAAATCATCGAAATAATCGAGAAAGGGTGTGGGTATTAATAGTGATAAGATAGACACATAACACATACACCCGCAGCTTCAGCACAAACTATTCATATGTAAGTGTATGACATAGATGCTGCTGTGGATTATTCATGCGGTAATAATAAAATTGTGTGCTGAAGCCAAATAAGTAGCACTTTCGGTATTTTTTCTTTTTAATAAATTTATACCATTCGATGTAGAATATGATTATTGTTCTTGTGTTTCTCTGGCTTAAATTATAATAAAAAGAGAACCTCTTTTTATATGTGTGATCATCTTGATGGTAAAGGTGATGGTGTGAAGGTCCAATAATTGATAACTCCTGGTAAACTCTGATAATCGAAAAGTATATAAATCGAAATTACTTTATAATTCATTTTCGTTATGAACCCTACAGTCGATACTAACAAAGATATCTCCATGGCAATAGTCTATCTTAGTAAACTAGATTTAAAATGGAGTTCTTTTGCTCTAGATTCAATATGATATCTAACTGTTGATTAGTAAAAAAATTGTCACGAACGATTTTGATTAGGAGTGGAATTTGAACTTTACTTTAAAGTTAAGATTAAAATACTACTCATATTCACACCCACACTCGGTGTCCAGTATGTGATAAATATGAATTAAATTATGTGTTTTTTCGATCTATTTCTGTATGGCCCATGTAAATTCTCCTATTTTAAATTGATGAAATAAAATATCTTGGCTTGTATTACATGAAACAATGACGAAAAGTTCTTTGTTTGCTGATATCAAATGAATTTTTGATCTCAAGTTGAGATTTAACAGACGATCTGCGCCAATGTTCATAACATATTTTTTATCTCAGACTAAAAAACAATGACTCTGTTCGTGTACCGGTTCTATCATATAGTTTTCTTCAAACATTCAATGGTCACATTGATCAGCAAAATGAACATGGGTGAAATATTCGATGGATATAAACACTCGATTCACTTTTCTCACAAATTGTATGTGATAATGAACTTCGAACCATTCCTCGCGATTATCAGTCAACGTGAAAATTAAAACCATTAGTTCGAGTCATTGTCTACGAAAAAGAAATCTTTTCCGTGCAACAGTGATGACAAAATTGCATGTAGAAATCAAAAAGGAAAAACATCAATACAAGCATTAGAAATTTTCTTGAAAACCGACAAGCTTTCGGCCAAAACAGGATATGCTTACATAATGGCCAGATCATAAGGCGAGGGTGGGTGTGCGTGTGGATGTGTGGGTGTGCGTGTGGATCTAATGAGAAGATATACACCCGCACCCACACCCACACTCACACCCACACCCACCCACACTCACAGCCACACCCCACACCCACACCCACACCCACCCACACCCACACCCACACCACACACCCACACCCTTCGAGCAAACTCGAATACGACTAATATTTTGGTCGTTCTACACATCTTCACCCTCATTTAAACATTATGTATACTCTTTATAACCTTCGATTAAATTACTGAAATACTCTTTTTTTTCATGAATTGCGATATGTTAGGAAAAATACAATATCTTTGTTCATTGCTTTTAGTATAGCAAATGGTTGAACTTCACCTTAATGAAAAAAATGAATGAAATTTTAATGCCATTGATTAAAGCGAATGCAAGCTAAATCGTGAGAATGAAGTTCAAGCGTATTTTTGATATTTCAAGGTTAATTTTTTTCAATAATGCCATGACAACTTGAAGGAATATTCGTTCATTCGAATAAAGTATCTTGATTGATATTGGTTCTGCATGCTTGACGGAAGACTATTGTTTCGATCTTGTAAGTCATATTGTATGATGAACGTCATTTCATGATTGGATATAGTAACAGCACTGCACTCAATAAATTCAAATTAATACTCAAATCAAGATGATGCAAACAAAGCCTACTTGGAAACAATGGGGATGAATATATTCATTTCATTTCGATAAGGATAAAAAGAAAGAAGAATATTCATATGGATGTCGACTTTGTTATCAGACAGAAATATTGAGTTTCCAATAATCGTACTAGGTACAATTGAGTAACCACTAGTGAAAGTAGTCAGATGAGTGGAGAAACAGTGCGTTTGATTCTGGTTTGTCTTTGATCCAACCTAAATCCATTGAGTCAAGATGATGATAAAGAAATGGAAAGATCTTACTAATAATCCGTCAGACTGCCAGTTATTATTTGAATCAAGATAATAGCATCCAGAAGTGAAAGTTAGAAGCTCGTAGTTAGACGAGAAGTGGAATGACTGCTCAGAGACCGGTGGATTTAATGCATTGTTTGAGCAAATTTCAGTATGGTTTAGCTCACGCAGACCAATAACAACAAATCGATGTGTAGCAGTACGATTGTTATTTATGAAGTATCTGTAAACGCCATCGTCAGATATGTCTAAAATTTAAACATTGAATTAGATAAGAATGAGATTAATACGCACTCTGAGAGCACAATAGAGACCAGCCATCAATATAGCTGATCTCTTTGTTTAATTGGGGTTGACCATCAAACTTGAAGATTAACAAATAGCTAACATTTAAGTTGTGAGGGCGCATTTCCAGGTGAAGAGAAATAGTCAAATTTTCATTCGATTGTGTGATGTTGATGCGATGAAAGTTGAACTGTTGCTTGTGATTATGAATTGACGTGACATTATACAAGGCCATTGGCGGCGTTATCAAGTTAGGATCTCGAGGAATAATAAACTCAATAAGATGCTCATCATTAGCGCGAATCGAGATTTCCTTGTCATTCGAATCGAGTACGGAGAGAGACATCATTGTCGACAAACTAGTATTGACTTGAAAATCAGTAGAGCTAGCTAATGCTATTGGTTGCACTATCGACTAGAAAGTTCTTGGTGAAATTTAACAGATATAAAGCAAAAATAACTCACCCGCAATGACACTGAGTCACTATTGCTGAGATTCAAAACGATAGTTGAGGGAAGGCGAATCTGAGCTGTACCAAAAGGAATAATGATTTTATCCGATAGAGACGAAACCAATGATGTTTCCAAAGAGAAGAACACTGCCGTTGTATTTATGGTTCTATTCTGTCCAACATTCAAATGAACATTGAGTACAACTGTGATGACTTCAATAGCTTCAGTCACTTGATTAATCAGGATTTTTGCCTGTTGCATCAATGAAAGACATATTCTATTATCATATTAAGATTGTTTTCAATGATCTTACTGTCTGTTTTTGATGGTAGAGATTCTTCACATGTGATATGTCATCTCCGTTGATAAAGTGATCTGTAGATAGATAGAATTAATAGAAATTAAATAGAGAAAATGAATATATTACTTAGATTGACCCAATTGAATTGAAAGTCCATATCATAATCATATTCTGAGATATTATTAGAACGAATCAAGTCAAGATGAAGAACATGTCCGCGCTGCTGCAATGGCATATTGATAGCCTTTAAAAAGAAATCAATCAAACCCATGAAAAAAAGTAAAATTGTCCTACACTTAGAACATTGGCAGCACACTGAATTATTTTATTGGCAATTCTTTCAACGTCCTCAAAGCAAACTTTTGTGACCATTGTTTGCAAACTAAGAGCTAATTTTCGACATTTACTCGATGCGAGTAACTAAATCAATATATTCTATTCGAATAAAGGCAGAAAATGACAAACTTACACAGGTGGTGCGAGTGAGTTGATTAGTCGCCCGGGTAAGTTCAACCAGAGATGATGCTTGCAGTAAAATACTCTTCAATGTCATATTTATCAAACTGTTTATTTTCGTCATGAGATATTCACGAGCACTGGCGTGGTCGTTCATTTGCTCAATAAATTCATTGAGAAGTGAAGTGTTTAATGATTCGGTCGACTATTTTTTCAAGAATGAATTACAGTTGAAGGTAGAAAAAAATAGAGACAACTCACCAAGTGTATCTTCTGACTTCCTAACGGTGAAATAGCGATACTTGATGCGGGAATACCCACTAGAGAAACATGATATTTAATCATTAAAAGT